CCCCCACCACCAGCAAAGCGGCCATTGATTAGGCAACTGGAGACGGCAATAGAAAATCAAAACATCATAAAAACTACATAAATCAACAACAACAAAGACGGCGAAACATTGACGAAAATGCCAGCAAATATGAAGGATTTTCATCGGGATGCATTCGCAATCTGCTGTTTCATCATGCTTATGGCCAGTGAGGTAAGTTTTCGCCAAACGGCTCATATCACATCATGGCTATATTAAAGCCACGACATTTTTTCCATTCTTTCTTCTCGTTTAATGTATTAATTATTCAAAATCTACTTGTTTTCATGGTTTCAAGATAGAGAGAGAGAGCCAGACAGAAAAAGTATCTTTAAGTTCAAAAACTATATTTCATTATGGTTGTATCTGTGTAGTTGAGAGTTGCCTTTGTGTTTTATTTTATTCTATTTTTAGTTTCAATAAAAAGTATCTTAAAGATACTTGATTGATGATATACAACTAAAGATTTGTATTTCGTTGCTATAAATATCTTGAAGATAAATCTTTTTCTTTTTAAAACAATCTTACAAATATGCCAGCTATGTTTCTGATGTATTTTATAAAGATTTCTATGCTGACATTTATTTGCATTCTTGAGTTATTGTTTTTTAGTCAATACTCATTGGTGAATAGAAAAGAGTATATTCGTTTTTTACAATCCGTCCGTCCTCTGCCCCATTCGTTTGTTTTTATGAGCGCAAAGCATTTCGTCGTTTTTAGAGCCTGCAAATATTAAGCATAAAAAAAACTAATAGTACATAAATGTTTCGTGCAATTGTAAAACAAATTAGCAATCACAAATGAGTGTTAACATTTCTTGGAGTGAGTGCCTTGTGGAAGTTCACTATTCATCTATACTATTTCTTACACCTGCTCTCATACCTAATGCGAAAGAATATCAAAAATCTATTGAAAAGTGCTTTTTCTATTGAGAAATCTTATATTCGAATATTTTTGACTAAATATCATGGCTTTCGAACCGGAAGCCCAAGACTCAAAAGTCTATTTTATATCAATTAGACGTATTTGAACAAGAGTTATTTTGTTTCATTCACATCTTAAGGACTGCAATTTTTTAAGATATTATTATATTTAAATATAACAATAAATAAATATGAGCAATATGTATCGTGCGACTCTTAAATTAGTATGTTAAGTACAATGATTGTGTTAAATCAAATACCAATTACCCAGTCGATTGAAATCAGAATCAATTTGTTTTTATTACATCATTAATATATATATATATATATATGTATATATACATCAATTTATTTAATATCACAAAACACTAAGGCCTTATACAAATTGAATAGATCTATGCATATTACATATTTTAAATATTTATTTATATACATATGCACGTACGTAAATTCGTATATATATCTAGAAATCATCATTAACATTCCTGAGGTTTGCATTAACTATGTATAAATTAAGAGCCAAGTTGTAGCGCATTCGCTATCCAAGTGGCTCATCAAATATTTTTATTGTATGTCTTAACTATTGTATTTGGTAATTGCTATATTGGTATCTTTTCATTCATTTGCTTTACATATCAAACAACCATCTTTTTCGGAATAGTTGCTGCACTAAAACTAGAGTTCTTATTTAAATTTTATATTTGAAATTTTTACTTAGTGTGGTTTAGAATAGGGCTCGTAATTCCCATTGACTATTCAATAAACAATTATATGTATTTAAACATGTAAATTGTCATCTAGACGATGACTTTATACAAGCTTTGATTTACCATATATCGTGATCAAATGCATTCCAGGCACTTCCTAGTTATAAATTAAAAGATTGAGATAACCGACTATTCAAGTTCGGTTCTATCTATATAGAAATGCAGAGACTTTTTATGTTAAGCGATCCAACAACAGCTGTAATCAAAATCTATTATCTCTCTCTATCTCATAATTTCTATTTATAGTAGAGAGTATTCAGCACTTAATAATACATCTAATTTCTTCGTATACAATAATTATTGTCAGATTATTATTTGTCTACGAAGCTCTTACAATCCAAGTCTTAATAATTATAATTGCATTAATTGAGTTCCTTCAATGACTCAACTCTAGTCTGATTGCCTTTCATATGTGATTTTACCTCAGCAAATTCAAATAGAAATGGGGGGCTTATGATTTTCGCAAAAAATTTACGGCTTTAGCGACTGGAAATAGCCTTTGAGTTAGGGCGCTGACAGGTATTTCGTCTTGAGCTTCTTCTTATGCTTTTTTGTGTTTGGTTGGCGCTTTTGTTGTTGTTGTTGCTGTTGTTTGTAGCGTTACTTCCCAAGTGCTTTTAAGCAACGGCGGAAAGTGTTGTCATTCTGCGCTCTTTACGCTTTGTTTCATTTTTAATTTATTCTATGGTCTGTCTATGTGAGTACACCTTCTGATACGGGTATTCATTCGCACACATGCCACAAAAACAAAAACCAAAACAAACGGCAAAGGTCTTCAAGCATATTAAAACAAAGACGTTGACGCAGTCGCTGGCCAAGTGACCTTTTTACTGACACTTTTGCAGCACAGCGCGAAAAAGAGGTGAAAAACGCTACAACAATAAATGGAACAAAATAAGTAACAAAAAAGTTTGTTTTCTGACTTTTTTTTTTGGTATTTTGGTGAGCCATGAAAATGGAAACGAAGATGAAGTTGAGGCTAAACTTTTGGTTATGAAACAGTGGACTTCAAAAGCAACTCTTCAAAGCATCCGCCAATTGCCGCTATCTAAACAAAGGCCCGAAAGCATCGACAGTAAATGAAATGCATTTAACTATGAAATTGAATACAACTACTCGCAGCATGTGATCAAATTGCGGATTGCAAATTACATGAATTAGCCCCGAGTCAAGTATTTGGTTAGTCAGCCATTCGGTATTCCAAATTGCCAACCAGCCACATCTTTAAGATCTTCACAGTTTCCGAGTTGAACACCGTCTGGGCGCCCTTATAAGGCGAATGCAAAACAATTTTGTCAGCCCACAGTGTCGCAAATGAATGATAATCGCCTTGCCTTATAAGCCAGCGGGAAGCCTAATCAGATGAGCCCCTATGTAAAAGTGAGAAGAATTTTTGAGCATGCTCGAATCAAATGTGCTCTAGTTGTGAGAGCGCGACTTACAGATACCCTCTAGATAGCCATAATATACAAATTAAAACAAGAAATATGTAAATAAAATATATAGTTTCAATATTTACTTCTTATACTTATTTACTTCAATATACCTGAGCAAAAAATACCAAAATATAAATACAAATTTAATACTTAATATAAAATATCTAATGTTTCGCCTTATCTCTCTCTCTCTCAATCTCATTTTCTCTCTTTCTCTTGCTTTGCTATTGTATTTCTTGATTGATTCTCTATGAAAAAAAACCTGATAAATTTAAACTATTTGAGCTAATAACAAAAACTCTCAAAATATTATCATAGTTTTAATATAATTAAGAAAAGACGTTATTAGATTTTAGCTAAATATAAAAAAAAAAAAAAAACATTTGAAAATGGTTAAATAGCAAATAATTACAAATACTCACGACTATTTTTCCTTTGCCCAGATAAATGCAATATCCGTCACTATGCTATTAGGCCCGTTCCACTCTGAATCTCTCCCCCTCCTTCCCTTTGAAGATCTGTTTATCTGTCTCTCTCGCTCTGTATGTATAGATACATAGATTCTAGTATGCCCTATATAGGTACATATATGGTACCGAGAAATCTAGACGACGCTGTGCAATAAAAAATAGATTTATTTAATTTAGCTTGAGCGAAAATACACTGAAATTCAAAATGGCAGCAAATATCTTTTATCTCGTTAATGGAGCCTCACTTTAGTCACAGCCGTCGAATCAACTGTGACACGTTAACTCAGGAATTCGAAGGGTTCCGCAAAAAGCGAACGTCCAACGAATTTATCTGAACAAAAAATCTGTTGTCCAGTACACACATATTTTATTATTATTTTTTAGATTTTTTTCCTGATTTTTTTTGCAAGATTATATAAGATGTTGTAGGGCTGCGCGGCGGTAGCCTCACGTGGCTTACTATATTGTTTTGAGGCAGCTGGGAAAATAATTTTTCACGGACTTTGCAGACTTGGCTACGGAAGCTTATTCACATATTCACACGTAGCTGTCGCTGAGGCGGCCCAGTGGCAGATTTCGATAAGTCATTGGGCTATAATTTGCGAGAGACACATGAAGACTTTTTCTATATAATTAAACAAAAAACAAAAACAAAAACACAAGCAGCAAACAAACAACAAAAAAGTATGAAAATCACAACACACAAAGTTGACATTTCACACAGCAGCAGGTCGCCGCATTGGGCCCATCGACTGTTGCAAGCCAAGCAGCCGTGGCACCATGTGCCAAGTTATGACATCACTTCAATTCATCAACTGGTGGACTATAGCCCAAAGCTGCGCCGTACACATACCAGTCAGCCAGTCAGGCAGCTAGCTACAATCGCACATGGTCTTGGTCTTGGCACGAGTACTCAGTTCGACTATGAATAGATCTTGATCAGACAGCAGGGTACTCGCTATCATTTGTTTAGCTGCGCTAATAGCTTTTGGCTTGGGAAAGCGCCGCAAGCTATTTTCCTATAGCAACTATGCTTCAGCAGATATGTATATTGCAATACTGACTCTTTCTCTACTAAGAAGAGTCATCTGTTTTCCACATCCATGAGCTGACTTGTAATACGTGCACGGACTATGAATATCTACATTCTTATCCCTTCTTCTTCTTAAAGAATCGAATTCAGTGTATCTCCTGATCGCATACTTCAGACTGGAGTGGTGTTAGATAAATAAAATATGTGTATGATATACAGAATTTAATTTAATTTATTATCAATTATTTATGTAATAATTAAAAATAAATAAATTAAAATTAAAATTTTTATTTTTGTGTTTTTATAAATAAAAATAAGTATATAAATATTTGTTAATCTCTTTCAGTGCCAAGCTGCATTGAACACGCAAAAGACATCCTTCTCTTGTGCAGGACGACCAGCGGGCTACTATGCGGATGTGGAAACTGGCTGTCAGGTGGGTGACAAAATGTTGTATACAATTTTGTACTTGTTATGTTGTGTTGTTCGTTCTTCTGCTTGATTACGGTTAGGTCTATCACATGTGCGATGGCTTGGGCCGTCAGTTCAGCTATACGTGCCCCAATACGACGCTCTTTCAGCAGCGCATGCTCATCTGCGATCATTGGTACATGGTCAACTGCTCCAAGGCTGAGAGCAACTATGCGGCCAATCTCTTGATAGGTAAGTCGCGAACTCCATTAAGATTACGTTAACTGTTACAGCAATTAGCATAAATGTTTTCTTTTCTTTTAAAATATTCTCCTTGGCATGCCGCTAGGTCAGCGCGATAAGCCGTTTGTCAATGATGAGGAGAATAACTTGCGAACGCCACGTCCCGATCTGCTAGATCGTCCCTATGCACCCGACTATTCTGGCGAATCCTTTCGAAACCAATATAAGGTAAGGCATAGGAGCACTACATAAATCTCTATTAGCATGTCTCATGTTCTCTCTTTCTCACTCTCTCTCTCTCTCTCTCTCTCTCTCTCTCTCTCTCTTTCTCTCTCTAAGTAGCAGCTGACGCCAAGTCAGAATCAGATACGCGACGATTCCGTAAAGAGCGCCGATAAATTTGATTCACAGTTGACACAAAATAGTCAAACACGCTGGCGGATTCCCCCACCCAGTCGCACTATCCTCCCGCCCGCCTTTGAGCCCCAAATAGAGCTTACCAGCAGCACGCCTCAGCCACGACCCAGAGTAAGCAGCAGCAGCAGCACCACCACCACTAGCACTCGCAGACCCACCACCACGCCGCCTCCTGTGTCATACAAGCGGACGGAAGCGCTGTATCAACGGACTGGGGACATGGAAGTGGATGACCTGGGCACGAGCCACAGCACGCGCTACAACACGTCGGCGGACTTTAACTCTGCCGAGCAGGCAACGACGAAGAACTCCACCAAGATGGTGAAGTTCATCAAGCCTCCATCGAAGATCTATGAGCCACCGTTCGTATATCCCATTTACAATCAGGACGTTCAGGAGGTGCAGCCGGTCACGGAGACATTGCGCACATCGTCAGCGATGCCCTTCAGCACAGCCGCGACGCAGAACCGCTTCTCGGCGGCAGCGGCCAGACCCAGCACCACTACCAGGCCACTCAGTCGCCCCACCACGTACGCCGGACAGCCCTTCTCTCAGAGTTCGGCAGCCACCACGGCCAGCACAACAACCAATTATCGTCCAGCTGTGGCTCAGACAGAGCATCGAACACCCACGCCGGCGCAAGCATTCCGCCAGACCACGCCCACCTCAACCGTGGCGCCCAGAACTGGAGGCAAGGGCGAGCTGCCCTTCAATGATCTGTTGCCACCATTTGTGGACTTTGTGCCACACGACATAGCCACGACCCAGGGACCGCCCATTTACTACGAGTGGAAGGTGCCCGCCAATGGGCTGGTGCCGCCCAAACTGGACCCGCCCATAGGCGTGGATGGACGCGAGTATCCGGAGACAAAAGCCGACTACAATGTTAAGGTCAAGCTGGAGAGCTTTAACTCCAAGTTCAATGACTTTGCCAGCAACAATGCTGTGGCGGCTGCCAGTGGAGCTGCACCTAAGCGATTGCCCAGCTCGCGCTCCATCAAGCCCAACGAGCTGCCCGTGGTGTCCACGGAGAAGGCCCAACGACGCGCGGATGTGGTCAGCACTGGCTCCGGCTCCGGCTCCAGCTCCCATTTAACATCGGACATAACGCAGCTGCGCAAACAGTTGCTCATACCGGAATATGCCTTCCCGCTGGAGACCATCGGACGGACGGGCTATGCACCCGGCTCGAGTGTGGCCGGGGATCTTTACAACTCGTTCCAGCTTAAGATACCGGAGCGAAGAGCCGGTAGCGGTAGCTCATTCAGCAGCAGTTCCACTCAAGGCAGATGGTTCGGCGAGAATCCAAAGTGCCCCGAGTGCCATCCATCCTTTGTGGTGCCAGGCACCTGCGAGCCCTGTTTGCGTAGATAGTTAACTCCACTTACACTTAAGTTCCACATACCACATGCCGCGCCTACGCACCGTCCTAGTATTAGCTGACATATATTCATAGCCGTCCCAGAAAATCCGCCTTCGCATCGATTCATGCATTTAAATGTTAACTTTATTGTATACACTCACAGTAAAAATAATGCGCATTAAATAAGTGAGTAGAACTACGTATATTCAAGCATGAACCTCGGTTCACAATTGCTACGTTCCAGGTGGTAAGTATGTGTAGTGCTTTCTAATTAACGCTCACTACAGCAATGCAACAGTTATGCTTGCCTAAAACGGCAGACTAACTAAATATATAGGTAACTTCGTAAATTCCATAGAGATGGGCGCCGAGAAGCTTAATAGATAATTTCGTGAATGAGTATTTTGCGGAAGTAGCGCTGCTTTGAGAGTCTTATCAATATGCTTATATAAAATATACACGTACGTGATTAAGAGTGATATATTGCCTGATATCTGTGTAGAGTGACATGATTATCTCTTCAATTACGATTCTCTAAAATTCAACAAGATTCAACGGTGATTCGTTCACACCCCTCTCTAACTATGACTTGATCGTCTTCAACAATAAAATGTAGTAAATGAGTTCAAATCATTTGAATAAATTGTGACTTATTGTGTTAAAAATCATTCTATATCGTGATTCACCATAACTCTAGCTGCTCAGGTCAGATTTTGTGATTTTATATACAAGGTGCAATTGTTGCTCGCAACTCCGTTTAACACTCACTGATAACTTCTCAACACTGTTTTCTAATGCAGTGCAGTAACGACTTTAGATTTCCTTTTAGCAAAACAGTTTCAAAATATCACTTAATGATATTTTTTTTTTTTTCATATTTTGTCAAGACAGACAATTTCGAATTGTTACAAATTGTTCGCATTGCCCATCTCAAAATTTGTGGTATAACAGATTCAAACATCTATGTACATAATATTGCGTACAGAAACGCAGCAACGCGTGCAACATCGGTGAAAACATTTGATTTGAAAGGCACATTTAAGTAAATGCATGATGAATGGACTGCAGATTCTTCTAGTTGCTAGCTTGATGGAAAACTTGGATACATCAGAGTGATCAGATCAAAAATCAATCGGTAAAACTTAACCTAATGGGAAAGACAATAGGATTGGACAAAAATCGAATAGAAACTTTTGACTAGCACTTTGTTTAGGGTTCACGGCGCATAAAAGAAGATGCTCGGGGTCCAGGGTCGGGAGGCGCCCACCGACATTTCGGGATGGGCGGGCGCCATTTTATTGCTGGGGCAACCAGGTCCATCGCTGGGAAATTCCTGACCCACCGCTTGGGCTCGTAAAATAACTTGATGCGGCTTGGTCACGTCCACATTAGCCACGACGCCCGCTTCGTGGCGATAGCTATAAAATCGATTGGTCAAATGGCCATCCACATATATCTGATTAAACGAACGGGAGTAAATTATTATTCAAACTGTCTGAGATTAGTAGATTAAAACACAAGCACGTACCTCGTAGCCACCGATGCCGGCACAGTCCTCCAGTTCCCAGCGCACATAGAGCGCACGACAGCCCAGGCTAGAAACACTCGTAATGGTCACCGGGAAACTGTCACCCGGTGCATTGCCCATACAAGCCGAAGGCTTGGGATCCTATCACAGTAACCAAAATAATTTTTGAAATAAATAAATGAAGATATGCAGCATTATTTACCTTGGGATTTATCTTATTCTTGGTCATTACATGGTTCATAGCTTGCAAGTCGCAGATAATGGAATCAATAAAAAATTTCTGAAAGAATTAAAATGTTAGCTTATGAGAACACATTAAGAGGTTTACCTAATCGGGAAATCGAGAATCAAGCGTACTCACCGTTTCAGCCACGGGATCATATTTAACTGCATCCAGTGTCTTGGAAACCGTCAGGCATTGGTTATCACAGACGACCGCGCGACAGTGACAGCAAATGCAAGGCCCTCCAGGTCTGTCCATCTGCTCTGTGGCCTCCTCATCCAGCTCCTGATCGTCTTCACACAATTCACACATGCGCCGCATCATATATTCGCATAGCAGTCGTTCTCTATCCGTAAGCGGACTTAATCCATCATCCACTTCAGACTCGCATTGACAGGAAACTTTTTGCAAGGCACCAGAATTTCCTGATTCACATTGGCAGAGCTCCTTTGAAGATTCTTCTCGAGGAGTTCTCTCGCTGCAACGATCCTTTGACGATTCTCCTCGATGACTCATATTGCTGATTTCTTCTGGTGCTGATTCTCCTCGTCGACCCGTACAGCTGCAATGCTCTGATTCTCCTCGTGGTGTTCTGTTGCTGCTCTGCTCTTGTACTGATTCTCCCCAGGGGCTTTTGTTGCTGCTCTGCTCTTGTGCTGATTCTCCTAGGGGGCTTTTATTGCTGCTCTGCTCTTGAATCGAGTCTCCTAGAGGACTTTTATTGCTGCTCTGCTCCTCACGGACTGTAAGCTCCTCATCTGTTCGCGCTTCCGGCTGGGCTGAGCGTGACCCAGAGCCTGAAGCTGAGGCTTTCGGAGGTGACGCGGACGACTTACCACCCTCGTCACTCGGTAGCGATTTCCTTACCGTGTCAGTATCACATGGTGTCTTGTCCGTTAGCTTAGACTGAAATGATTTACATACGGTTGTTTTTGAGCTGCGAGATTTGCAATCGCATGATTTGTAGCAGGACGATCTGGATTCACTTGTTTTGCAAACACAAGATTCGTATCCTTTTGATTTTGAGTCGACCGTATCGCAGGTCTTATAAATTGTAGCGGTAGTGCAGCTACCCACAAAAGTCTTAGACTCGGATTTCATAGAATCTGCTTTGCGGCAGGGATCAAAGGCTGGATCAGGTTGGAATACGACTATTTCCTTCGGTTCGACAGGTAAACACTTCTTTTTACTGGGAAAACATTTTTCCACATATTGTTCCATTTTTTCCAAGCACTGCATACGCTCCTCTTTATCCCTTGACATCGCCACCTTAGTTGGGGGCATTCGACCACACGTTACGGCCGCCATGCAATCTTCATAGCTCAGTGGCATATCCTCCTGCTCGTCGTCTTCCTCCTCCCGCAGCATTGCGGTTAGCTCACGAAACAGTTCCTGTATGACAGCCGTGCGATCCAGGCGACAATCATTGGTGTGGTTCAATAAATTTATTATATTTGCTACGCGGTCCCTTGGTACAGAGGGACAGCATCTTTCAGACTCACAGCTTCGGAAACTGGACATTTGTTTGTCCGACGCGCACTCGCAATAGATATCCTGCTGAATTTGGTTCTGGTGTTGATCGCAGGGAACAGTCCAGGTCGGCTGATCCGAAGCGTACTCACAATAGTCGTCCTGCCGCTTCTGGTGTTGTTGTTGGTATTTCTGCATTCCATGTTCTATCGCGCATTCAGATTGATAGACGCTATCTTGCTGCTGACAGCAAGGAGGTTCAGGAGCACAATAATCACAATAGATAACATCCGGCTGTTGACAGGGTTCCTCCCGTGTTTGACCACAGGTTGGCTCTTCGTACTGCTTGGTTTTCGACTTTCGACCAGGTAAACAGCAATCGAAAAGTCCGCCAGACTTGTTCGTCTCCATGACATGATCCGAGGTAGTTATACATGATTTTGAGCCTTTGCTTGCGGACTGTTCATTAGGTGAAGAAGAGCATTTTGAGCATTTCTCCTGTTCAGCGTTTACGGCGGACATCGAAGGACCCAAAGACTTTGAACAAACTGGTATTGATTGTGGTTTTTGTTGAGCTCTACCATCCGCGATCTGCGTATTTGCGCAAAAACAGGACGAGTTCTTGCATACGGATGTGTCGGATGAGGAATTACAGTCTCGGAACTTGTCCCCGCAGTTCATAAACACAACCTTTGTACTCTGAGATGCATTGCAGCTAGGTTCGGCTTTCTTATCCTGAATTCTCTTAAATGGTGGACCCTCCCGACCAGTCGGACATAGCTTCATCTTATCAATGGACGAGCACAAGCACGTGACGTTCGCCATGAAAGACTGCGAACGGGACGAGGTCTTGTCCGTGTAGCCCATCGATGACTTCTGTGTACAAGGCGTTGCATTGTATTCCATTTTGGCGCTATTCCCTTTACCTTGGACAACTTTGCTACAATTAATTGACGTCGTTATGTGACTGGTGTCTACATTGAAATACCGTTCACTCTTCACACTTGTATCCATATCCATCAAATGGGTTGGTTTACTTGCCTTAGTTGGACAAATTGATTCCATTTCCAAGTAGTCTTCGTTTTGTATATCCTGATTGACAGAAGCTGATGCTGGACATGGTTTTGGTGGACATGGCTTTGGTGGACATGGTGGTGGGCACGGTTGTGGTGGTGGACATGATGCTGGCGGGCTTTGTCGGGGTGGACATGGTGGTGGTGGGCAGGGTGGTGGAGGACATGGCGGATTGTCGGTAGACTCTTCTTGCTGTTCTTTACCAACCATCTCCTCCTGGAAGTCTGAAAACTCTGGAACATTTTGGGATGGCGCGGAGCTCTGACAAATTGCTACTGCGCTTGGTTTTTCCTGGTTCTGGCTACCACATTCACAGCCTTGAGCCTTCGCGGCATCAGATGATTGTGGTCCTACATCTCCAAGGGTTGACTGGCAAAGGCCGCTTTGATTGTGATCCTTAAGATCAAAGATGCCCTTGCTTCGATTGTCGACAAGTTGACTGACGCCAGATGCGCAGCTGTAGTAGCCAGCAGCGTTGACCTTCTGCGGACGAGAAGTGCTTGGTTGCATGCCTGCCTTATCAATTTTACACAGACAGGTCAGTTCACTTGAGCTCGATTCTAGGACTTCTTCCTTCTGCTCACAGGAAGTTTCGACTGGGTCAGTCATACTGGGCTGCATTCTTTGAAAAGAGGCAGCATCATCATTTTTATCACACGCGAACGGTGGTTTAGTTCCATCAGCTTTCATGGTATCGTCCTTTTTGCGGCAAGTCAGGTCAGTTTCGAAAACTGTGTCCAAGGGGAAGTACCGACTCGAAGAGGTAAATTCCGATTCGCCTATACAAGACAGCTGGCCACTCATTCGTCCGAGTGGATTGGTTAGATTGGACTCTTTTTTGTGTGGACACTCCTCGACTCGGTTCGCTGGGACATTCAAATTGTCTGGCAAGACATAAACATTGCTGGCATAGGTGGGTACCATCTCATTTTGAGTGCCGCAGATCTGAGGTGGACGGTAGTTATCAGGACAGCTTTCTTGGGGATTCGGAGGCTCAATCGCCTCGTCTGTTTCCATGGAGAAGTAACTCGTTATTGGGCACTTGGATTCGAGTTTAGGAGGTGGTGCCGGAGGCAATTGCGCACTGGGAGGCGGTGGACATACGCACGGTATGTGGCTTGTAGATTTTGCAGCAGAGCCACAATACTTGAGCGCAGTAAGTTTAGCTGCATTACTGCAGCTCGGGGCCTCAATGGCTGTTGTGGAGGGTATACTGGGTTGCGACTTTGAGAGACCACATATACTTGTTTGCTGGTATTGTGGACGGGAGTCGGGCAGGACCCTTTCCCTCCAATCATTGACATCCTGAGTGGTCTTCGGCAAATTTTCTAGACACGAGGGCTGCAGATTCTGCTCCTGCTGATGATCACGTTCATCATTATTGTCTATAATCCTGCATATGTATTGTGGGGTGGGATACTGAATTTGATCCAGGGCACTGAAATTTGGATTCAAATCACGCGTCTGCGATGGCTGGTCCTGTACAAAATTGCTGCAGTATGACTGCTTATAGTGTTCAAAGAGATAGGATGTGTTCGTCTGAGATGGCTTGCTCCCTGCGGGGCAATCCATTTCCGGCTGTGTGTGAGTTGACTGGCAGGCGCATTGCCATTGGTTGTTAGTCCCTTGAGGGTTTTTTCTCAAATAGGATCGGTCGGTTCGAATGTTTTGGTTATTGTGGCAAGCTCCTGGGTCGCGGTGCTCGTCCTGCATATACATCAGAGCTGGGCAGTCTGCAAAAAACAAATGAAAGAGAAGAGTCGTTAGATTGCCGTTGGACATGATTGCACATTTTATTCTGATGGGAAAGAACATTAAATTTTGAAATTAGAAAGCCATGGAACAAGGAACTGATTGAGTGACAAAGCAGGGCTTGCGATAAGCTTGAGAAAGTCTATGACTGGCGGGCCTGCGGCGGAATCTTGAGCTCTTTTATCTCTGAGAGCAGAACCTCGCGACCGCGCGTTGAATTTGGCTCAGACCACATTTCTCTGTCGTACAGCTCGAGAAACTTGGCCTCAGCCTTCTCCCGGCAAGGACAAAAGTCAAAGTAGGATGTCTGACTGCAGGCGTCGCGCTCGTCAAAGTTTGAGAAGATGGTTCCACGCTGCACACATCGGCAGACCTTCACATTGACGCGTTCACGATTGTCGTCTAGAGTACGCTGCTTCCAGGGACACTGACAGCATCCACAATTTCCAGGGCAAAACACATTGCCTTCCTCGTCCATAATGGGGCTCGGATCGAAGCGGCACGGGGAGCAGTTCGAGAACTCCTTATGCTGAGGTAGCGCCAAAAAATACTTTTTTAGTTGCCCCTCCATTTTGGATGGGACTGGCGACTTCTCGAATAGCGGTGTCAAAGTCTTGGATTCAGCTGGTTCTGGTTCGGATCGAGGAGCTGTTATAGGTACCACAGGTACCGGCTCTTTTACGGGCTCTGTTGTGGGCTTTTGTTCGGAGCTTGGTGTGGGCAGTGCTAAGGGCAGTGGAACAAGCTCCATATCGGAACTTGATGCTGACTTTGGCTCTGGCGAGGGTGCTGGGGCAGGCTCTGGAGCTGATGCTGGAGCAGGTGCTGGAGCAGGTATTGGGAGAGGTGCTGGCACGGGGGCCGGTTGGTGTACGTGACATGTGGATACCGGGCAACTGTAATCTTTGAGGATACAACAAGAGCCCTTAAATAAAATGTTACAATCTTCAGCTTCCAAAGCATCTTTAAAGCTGAAACATGATAATTTACAAGGAGCCCTACCTTTAGACGCATTCTTCGAACACACAGACATTTGTGACTTGTCAACTGACTGGGATGGACCGCATGTGACCATTTGGCCCGAGCATGGATCGAACCTCAACGGCATTTGCACTGTAACTGGCCTGCCCTGAAGGCACTTTGAGGCGTTTGGCTTGGGATCGGTCAGTAAACGCGCCGTTATCTCCAAGGTTGCATTGCATTGACGTTTACTATCGCCCTGATTCCTCTCAAAGTTCTTGAGCAGCATTTGTGTCACATTCTCGGCACGCCTGAGGGCAGCCCGCACAGCTTCTGGATCATCATATTTACTAGTGGCGGACGCCTGGCCACTGCACGTGGACTTACAGCTCGTTACATTTATCCGATTGCTGCACACGGGCTTAGTCTGTTCATTGTTAGCCGGCTTACAGCTATCAATATTCTTGCAACTGTGACCCTCTCGAGGAAAGTCAGTGTCGCTGATGCTAAGGCAATCAAAGAATATATCCTCGTCGCTGCGATGGACCTGAAAATTGGGACCCTTATACAGCACTTGGGTGGAGGTATTATCCTGCTTCTGTCGCTGGCTGCGCAAGTGAATGCAGGTGTCTGGTTTTTTACATCGCCGAGCGGCAGGCGACGACTTCTTATCAGTAATTGTTCTACTTCTGTCCTTGTCCATGGCTAAATGGACCAAAGCACCAAATGTATTCCAACTATTATATGAATTTACATAAAATTTGTTCTACGATGTTGCTCCTTGAAAGAATTAAAATTAACTGGCCTACAAATTGAATTGTCACGCACAGCAACAATGCCGCTGCCTACTATATTTCGAGTTTCGAATATAGACATTTCTTTTCATTCATTTTTATTGTATCAAAATCACTTCAAATATTAGCACTAACCAAAACTCAGCATCCACAGATGATAAATTCGAAAGTAAAGACACACGCATGTTCACGTCACTCGTTTGCAGACAATCATATGACATCGTTGCTCGTTTTCATGGTTGACAGACACAGCGCTTCCCTCAGTTTTAGTGAGCAACTCCACATGTTTTCTCCGTCGCTTTCCCAAGCTGAATGCCCCAGCGCCCGCTCTAATTGGGTGTGGGCAACCATAGGCAGCTGCTACTTGACGGCGTTTCACGACAAATAGCGAGCTCCCTATGCCTCCCAACGTACTCTCCTCACGGCTTTCCGAGCGGTTCCGTAACGATACGATTGCCGGCGCATACAATTTTGAGGCTGGCCACAGGCCCGCCTATCACCAGCGCCTGTGCCCGCTCCCCCGCCCACGCCCCCGGCAGGTCCAACAGCAACGGATTCGCAGGAATGAGCCAATGTATTGGGTGCCGGCTTAAATATGTTGACCTTAACCTGTCCGCTGTGGGGATCCAGCTCCATGGGGAGACTGAGAGTGACCGGACTGCCGCGCAGTATGCACTGGCAATGCGGGGGCACGCCGCATGATGGGTCCGTGTGCACTCGCGCGCTTATCTCGAGCGTTGCGGGATAAAAGAACTTGCATGTAGATGGCGGCTCCTCGATCTCGGCGCACTCGCAGTGAACGCCTAGGCCGCGCAATAGTATTTGCGTATTTTGTGCGGCGCGCCTTATGATGCTGCGCATATCCATGGGTGCCTTGCGCTGCTGGGGCACCTCCTCCTGCTTAAAGTCGCCTTGGCAGGCCTTCAATATGCCCGCCTTATGGGCACACTCGCGATCGCAGTCACTCTCACTGCGACAATCATGAAAGATGTCATCCATGGTCGGTGAAAATGTTTTGCTTCTTTTTTTTAATTTTTTTGCTTTGCTTTTTTTTATTGCCTTAGTCAAACATGCACACACAATTTAGAAAATACAATGATACTGTATAATGGGGTATTTTTGAAGTCTAGTCCCAGTTATTGTAAAAAAAAAAAAAAACATCAACTGAACGATTAAGGTCAGAAAGATATAACTCGCACCGCCAGCTAAGCCTAGGTAAAGCTGGCGATAGGTCTTATGAATTTAATAATCACATTTCCTCGCCAAAATTCAAGGTATTGTGCCGTTCCACCGGATAGTAGATAGTGCAATAGAACTCCGATTCCACTTTGTGGTTGTGAAAATTGATCAAGCGCTCATTAATGCGCTCCTCCAGCTGCTGCAGCAAGCGCGAATTGCCGGGCTTCAGTGCGAATTTCAGGGCGCGCACACAGCCCAGCACCGCGACAAATACGTCGTAGCTCTCATAGAGGTGGGCTGCCTGCCCCTGATCAGTGCAGAGATTCTGCAAGAGCTCGATGTGCTCGCGGAACTCCTCGCTGCCCTCCCACAGCTGCAGCACCCGCGCCCTGAACCTGTCGCTGTCGCTCTCACACTTAATGCACTCCTGCAGCAGCAGCAGGAATGCGCGCGTGCGGCTCGGCAGCAGCAACAGGCGCGCTTCTACCCCAACGTTCTCTGCCTGGATGCCACAGTCCTGGGTGCTACAGCTGTCCGTCTGCAACTGCTCGTCGCATATTGAGGGCGCCACCTGTACCACCCGACTGTGCCGCCCGACGGGCTCCGTCTGCACCAAGGTATTGAATTGGGCTCGATCCCACTCGCTATCGACCACCTGCACGTACTGCGTGCGTGCCGTGTGCCGGGATCGTTCCGAGTGTGCCGTATGGGCAGAGGCAGCCGAATGGAAACTGCAAAGGGAATTCGTCTCGCCGACATCCATGTAAATTGGACGACAGGTGGCGCCGCAGCGTCGCACGCGACCATGAAACTGGTATCGACTATTGAAGCGCTTGCACTGCTTTCGCTTGTGAAGCAGATACTTTCGCTCTCGAAACACATTCATCGGATTCTTGTCTCTATCCAACTGGCACACTTTGATGGCCCTCTCACTTGATTCTTGCTTTGCCGGCTCGGCAACGTGGGCTATGCTAAGACAGTCCCCAATTGATAGACCACCCCCCTCCGTGCGCCGAGAATCGCGGAAACCGGGTAAACTGGGCCTAGTGGGTCCACCGCCTCGACTGGCTCGACTGCCCCGACTGTTTATACTGGCCTTACTGCTACGCCGTAAATCCTGGCTCGGCCTTTTACCGGACGGTTTTGGCTTAGACTTTGACTCATTGCCTGCGGTTTCTACATCAACAGTTGTTACTTCTAAGGTTTTGCATATTTTTGGCACTGGCAGGGGCTCATCGTCCGGACATTGACATTCACTCACCGGCTTCTGGGCGTGGAGAATAGTGTCCGCCAGCTGCTTCACAGTGCAAGCGATGGTCTGAAAGTCCTTGTGCGTGGGCAGCTCACGCTCTCGGCGCTATGATGGTACGAGAGGAGAAAAAAAATGCTAAGTCAGTATCATCTTTGTATAAATTTCAAGGAAGAAGAAGAACGTAGCCCACCTCCAAATCTCTTAGGGCACAGCCGAGACCTTGACTGGCCGCCTCCAAATTGTCGATCTCTCCTCGCTTCATTGGGCTATCGAAAAGCTCGGTGGCTAGGCTAGAGCCCTCGGGGCAAACCCCCAGCTTCTTTTCCATGCGCTGAATCAACTCATCCTTGGTACGCAGCTCATCCTCCAGGCAGCAGACGTGCTCCGAGCATGCCTTCAGCTGCTGGTCCATTTCGGCGATTTTGGACTCAAGCGTATTCACCTCCTCCCTGAGCTCTCCATTGGTCACCTCGAGGTGCATGAGGTTCTTCTTTAGGTCGTAGATCTGCTGACGCAGGCAATCCGTTTCCGCTTTCAGCTGCTCCTCCATGCTCTGGTGCAGCTTCTTGGCAAAGTTCAGATCCTCGGCCAGGGTTTGACAACGTCGTCTCTCGCTCTCCAGCTCATTGGCCAGCGGCTGTTGCTTCTCCGCGTCGGCGGCATGACTGTCGACCTCCTTTTCCAGCGCCAGCTTCTGCTCCATCAGGTCACGATGCTCCTTGGTGAGGCGCACTAGGCACGTCTTCAGCCCAAGCTCCGCTTCCTCCAGCTGCTGTATCTTCTCAGCAGCAGCGCGCGAGTCATCGCGCAGGCAATCTTGCAGCTGGCTGATCTTCTGCTTTAAGCACATCTCTTTGGTACGGTAAGCCTCCTCTCTCGCTTTATATTCGCGCTCCAGGTCGACCCAGTGCGAGTCGGCGGTCTCCATGGCCTCGTAGTGTTGTGTGTTTAGCGCGTTGAGGGAACAACGCAAAGTCTTGACCTCTTCCTTAAGATAGCTAATCTCACGTGCGGCAGCAGCGTCCATCGGTGCATTCGCGCTGTTGCAAATGTTATTGCTGTTATTACTGTTGTTGTTGCTGTT